GGAACTAAACAGCATGAGGGCACACATTTGGGAATCAGATATGCAAGATGAATTGAGAAGTTGAGAAATATCCTAGAATCGACAAGAGTAAGTTAAAGCCTGTAACCCTTACCTGGTAACAGCTGGGCTTGAGGATGTCTTTACCTTTAAAAATGACTTCATTTAATACCTCAGTCTGCATTCTGGATGGATTCAGATTCTGGTTCTCAGAATTCCAAGGTAAAATTACCTTACCCTGAGTTAAGCATTGATCCATCTAGCCTGGTATTATTAGAATTGGCTGGTGCTAATAGACATAGTGCAACAAGCAATGGGAATGTTTGAACTACAGTTGAATAAGCAGCTTTTCTCTAGTTCATATAAATGATGAATTATAATTACAAAGGTTAGTTCACAAGAACTGAATTCCCATGATTCACTAAATCCAAGTCAAACAAATCACTTGGCACAATGTGTGCGATCAGACAATAGTTACAATTGTCTTGTCATGGAACTATAGCCTTCTATCTTTAGAGTGTCCTGAGGGTACCAGTTCTAGAAGGCTGATTGATGCAATGAAATTGTGTTCTCTATTGGTAGTGTGGATTTTGTGCACCTTCACACTATTTGCCTTTTAAATAACCAATGAGATAACCCTATAGATCCACAAATCAGTCCAGGTAAGGAACTTTAAAATAGTTAGGATCAGTTACCAGGTTGAAGAACATTGATATAGAGTGCATTTTAACTTTTATTTAATATTTTCTAACATTCTGGATATCCCACAGAGTGAGAGATGCTTTTCCTCCCTCCTTCCCTCTCTCCCTCTCTTTTGCATTATAGTATCAAGAATGGGCTGAAGTTCTATAAAAAAGTATTAAAGTTAAACTGGTCTGTCAGTGCATGGATAGGAAACCATTTTAGAACTATATGAACAAACAGGGATTTAACTGAAATAAATAAAACAACTATAGTAAGCTATTTCTGCAGTTGACCAAATAAACTATTTATCCCTGTAAAAATGCTACAAGTGTTAACAAAGACTTGACCTATTCATAGTACCCCCTGACCTTGATGAACCAGTCATATTGGCTTGATTCATACATTGCTTTAAGTTATAAATCATGATTTACAAACTACAATGGCAGGTTCATACTAAATGCTGAAACAAAAGTCTTAACAAAAATGCTACTTTATTGATCGATTGTCTTGTACGAACAAGTATCTAAATGTTTTCATTTTGCCAGAAGATGAATTCATTGTCCATTTCACTGAAAGTGTCTTTAGTGGATATTAAGGAAAGCCCTTTCCCAAATGAAGAATTGCATTTCCAGTATCTTTATAGGGTGTCCTAAGTCCATAAAAGTATGGGTAGCTTATAATTTTAGAAACAAATAACAATAATAACATAGAAAATATACATTGGAAATTAAGGACAAACCTAATAGATTTAAAATAAACTATAGAGGACTTCTTAATTCACCTAGCCTATCCCAAGGCCTTGGGAGAATATCCAAATAATCAAGACCTTTCACAACATCAAGGTGGGAGCCATACAGTGCACCAGAGTGCGTTGTTCCAGAGGGTCGGTTCTACAACAGAATAGGCAGGCTTCCTACTTTTCAAAAGATTAATAATGCTTAACCAAAGGGCAGAGATTACTAGAGATGGGCATCCCTTTAACTAGTAAAATCTTATGCCATCAAGGGCTCTATAGTGATCATCACTATCGTGACTTTACCTGGAAGCCAACCTACTGTGATCTGCCCATTACTGCCCATTCTGTCCCATGTTGAACAAGCAGTAGCTTCCAGATGGTCTTCAATACACTTCTTGTATTATATTCCAATAGTCCATTCTTGAAGCGATTAGAGCATGAAGGACCATCTGGAGACTCTCCTGATACAAGTATAGGTGTAATTGGCACACCAGATTAATATATTCAAATGCCTTCTTGGCTGCAGCTGCCCCACACTCTTCAATCAAGAGTGTCCAAGAAGATCATCAGATTGTACACTAGCTTAAACGGAGAATTTGCGTCCCATACAAGATTACAGATAGACAGTCCCCAAGTTTGGAGAGCCCAAATATTCATAGTCATTGATGTAGAAGGGTCAAGTGTTGGAGCCTCAACGGAAATACAGATATGGGGCTACAGGCCAATCTCTCACCTCCTATCAACTAGCTACAGGAAAAGCAGGAGAATAATCATAACCCATTGCCCAGCATACCAGTTCTCATAGCAGATCTCACAATATCAAAATCCTCTTAAGTCAAGGAGAATCATCATACTGCTCCCATCCTATGTTCACCAAATGTCGTTGGCAACTGTGATCCATGCTATTTCCATTCTGTGCCCTGATGTGAAATGGGACTGGATTTCCTCTAGAATCTGGAAAGCAAAATTGGGAAAGTAGATACATATTGTCCATAATCATTGTCTCTGGCAATGATTTTTGAGAAGTAGTCAATCTATTGCCTCTTTTAAGTTCAGAGAACTTAAGAGGTCAGATGTCAACACCACTCTTGGATCCAAACACAAGTGACATGAACCTAAGAAAATTGTTGCCATCTCACAATCCACCCATTTTTTTGTTACATATAAAACTAATGTTAGCCTTCCTGAGAAATCAGTTGGCCTGGCCTAACCAATGGGACTAACATTAGGCTTGCAAGTTTGATTGGGTTTTACTTCCTTCTCCTTCTTATAGTTGAATTCAGTGAATTCTGCCCAAATGTTATCTGGTTATTTTGGATTTGGAAAATATTTTACCCCCATTCTCTTGGCAGGGAAGCTTAGGCATCTCTGTGAAGGTCATCTTCCTGGCTTTAGAGACACAGGACCTCTCACACATAGTCAGATGCCCGTCTGTCTTCAGCAATCAATGTGAATTTTAGACTGGTAATTATCAATTGACACACTGCACTTCACTGTGCTGCCTAAAAGGCAATCTAGGGAGAATCTGCCATCCCAGGCAATTTTCAAGAAGCCCTGTTTCATAAAACTCACATTGGATGTGAAATCAGTATGTCCTTTACTATTTTTCCTCCTCTTCTCAATCAGGTCTGCTTTTTGGACACTGCCTAGATAAGTCCCAGCAATTTCTTTGGCAAGGTTTTTCAGATGTTTTTCCTGGTTTTTAATCCAATGTCTTCTCAATGCATATTATACGACACTTAGAACATAGGCTGGACTATTTGTTGATTATTAGAAGTATACCTGACTTTTCAATTAAAGTTATTATTTCTTACCATTCAGTATTAGTATTTAAATTGCTCTCTCTTAAGACCTAATTAGAATCATTTTGGTGTAGTGATTAAGGTCCCAGCTAGAAACTGGAAGTCTCTGAATTCTAATCCAGATATAGGCATAAATCTAGCTGGGCCAATTCAGTTACTTTCTCTGAATCCTAAGAAGGTGGCCAAAAACTTGTCAAGAAAACTATCCATTTTCTGAGAATTGGGTGCAATTGAACTCAGAATGGGAAAAAAGGCCTGATTGCTTTGGGCATACAGATTGAAGGAAACCTTTTGATGCCTCTCCTTGATACTTGTTTAACTTTCATTTAGTATGATTCACAATAAAGTCTGCAAGGGAATGATGTTCGCATTATATTATTTTCTTTGGTTCATTTTCAAATATTCATCATAGCCCTTTCTGCAGGTTAAATTATAGTTTTAATCTTAATAATGAAAAAACCATTAATGTTGAAAAAAAATATGAATGTATTTTAGAAGGAAAGTGCAGAGCAAGATTAAAAAAAATACATATACCTGTGCCCCCTCTTGTGTCGAAATTGTGAACAACAGAGAAAATAAATGCAGCTAATGTCTTATATAGCTAATAGCACTCAGAAAATGCTGTGCTAAAATCTACACTTTAATTTCTTAGAAGGATTACTTTGTTTTTTAAAAGACATGTCTGTTTTCTACCTTATTTTTACTATGCATAGAAATTTTTTGGAATTTCTTTTAGAGATGATTTTGAACATATTATTGAAGCTGGTAAAGGAACCATTCCTAATGTTGTTATATTCTGCTATACATATTTCCCACAGCCTGAAGCTTTATCGTGTGTTAATTTAAACATGGAACTATTGGAGAGATGGCTATATATTAAAGAACACACCATCCAATGTGGCATAGTATTTAAGATGTTGGGTTAGAAATACGAAAGCCTAAGTTCAAGTCCATTCTTAGCCATGGAAACACATTTGATGACTTTGATTTAATTATTGTTTCTCTGCCCAATCTACTTCATAAGGGTTCCCATTGCTACAGAGAGACCAAAATGAAGCAAAGCTATGTAAGAACTTTGAAGAAAGATGGGAATATATCTAGCAAACAAATAATAAATAAATAGATAAATATAAAGAGATTCAGTTTGGTCCAGTGGTTGAAGCACCAGGCTGGAAACCAGAAGACCATGAGTTTTAATTCAGCCATGAATTAGCCATGAAAGCTAGCCAGATGATTTTGGCCCAGTCACTCTCTCTCAGCCAGTTGACCTCACAGGATTATTGTTGTTGTGAGGAAAATAGGAAGAAGAAGAAGAAATATTACATAATGTTCACTGCCTTGAGTTGTTTACAAAAAAAATAAAGTTGGGATATTAGATAAATAAATACAAGACAATGACATAGCCAAAATATTGTCCATTAAAACCACGAAGAACAGATTATTTCTTATTACATAGAAGGCTGGCAAATTTCTCAGTTATTGCCTGAAATAACCACAAAAATGCAAAAATTCAACTCATTTGAATGCTTTTTGTAGTTTGAATTAGAAATATTTTGCTTTTAAATTTGGGAAGCTGTTGAGTTGCATAGATAAGGCAAACTATCAGAATGAGAATTAAGAAACTCATCCAGGTTTAAAAAGGCAAAGATACTTTCTCTCAAGGTAAAACAAAACTGAATCGTTGAGGATTATGTATCCGTTGTTCCAGAATAATTTTCAACCTGTTGGGTTTAGTTTCTTTCCTGATGTAATTTTACTTGCATTTCCCCCCCTGCCTTTAGGTATGTCGAGAGTATCAGCGTGGCAACTGTAACAGAGGAGAAAATGATTGCCGGTTTGCTCACCCTGCTGACAGTGCAATGATTGATACCAACGACAATACTGTCACTGTCTGTATGGATTACATCAAAGGGAGATGTTCAAGGGAAAAATGCAAATATTTTCACCCTCCAGCCCATCTGCAAGCTAAGATCAAAGCTGCCCAGTACCAGGTCAATCAAGCAGCAGCTGCTCAGGCAGCAGCTACTGCAGCAGCCATGGTAAGTCCAGAAAACAAATCAAATATATCTGTCTCATTGTCAGCCGCTGAGCACTGTTAATGAATTGAACCTCCTTACTAAAGATAGGGTGGTTTGGTTATCCTATTCCACTTCAATAAGCTGACAAGCATGTGATGCCAAGTCTGCTCTTACACAGTGTCAGATTCTACTAAAAAAATGTAGTCAGTTTGTCTATGTGTATATTGTGCATAGATGTACATGCCAGATGTACATATTACATCTTTGTGCTGATACTACATAATGAGAAGCAGTCATTTATTATGGGTCACCTGTACATTGATGATATTGATACGCATGCATATAAACCCTGACTGGCAAGTTTTTACATCATCTGCTACATAAGTATTACACAAGGAGCTGATGCATTCTTCAGTAGATCCCATGATCTGTCATTTTCTGTGCTCCATTTCCATCTGCAAAGGACTATACCATCAAAGAGATGAAAAATTTTGTATAATTGATCATATATGGTCTTACTTATCCTTCCGTTTTCCTTGGAAGGGATTTCCCCCCTCCTAGAATTCATTATGTGCATTCATTTGCATAGAGTCACCTTGAGATGTGACGAGCAGCAAACAAATTTAATAAACAAATAAATCTGCTTATTTAGTAGCTTAGATTACATTTAGCTAGCAGCAACTCAAAATAAGTGTTTAATGATCCTGGATCTAGCTAAGTTTGAAAATTTACTTCAGAGATCCTCTTATTCTTTTCTGTCTACATAAATTTAAGGTTTTTTTATGTATAAGTTGATTTTCAGAGACACATATCAAATACACATACCACACAAAAACCTCACTCTCTTGTTCCGTACAGGAAGACACAATGTTAGTGATCTAGCTCATTGAAATTGAACACTAAGCATGCATTTGAATATATCCTGACAAACATATCTAAGCTCATTTGTGCCAACATTTTCTTCTGAAATTTAACAGTCTCAGTTTCAAGGCAAATATTTTTTTTCTTCATTGGAAAAGAAAATGTTGATAGAATTATCACGTGGGGTGAGAATTGCACTTATTTAGTTTTGAGGTGGCCATGGAATATGTGTGAATACCTACCTTTCCATGCAGTCATATGTTGGCAATGTACATTTTACCTGGCCTCTCACCCTTCGGTAAAATCCCAAGGACAGACATGATAGAAGTCGTTCCGTGAGGCATTTTCAGACCCAAGAAACATGAGAAGCCTGGGAGACTATAGATCATTATAAAAATATTTAAAGGGAAGACAAACAGTACTTTTCCACCACCCTCACAATAGTAAAGCAAAGTCAAAAATACCAGCAGAAGAATTTCTAAAGAAATTCTGAAACTTCTTGAAAGTACAATGGAAAAAGGGTGGAAATTTATACTGTATTATGTGCAATAACTTTAATAAGCATAATTGAATGAGATAGAGTGGAGGCAAATACTTTATTGAAGTATTTAAGAACATGCATTTTTAGCAATGTGACTGTAAAATAACTCAAATAAAATCATGTGTATTGTGCTTCTCTGAATTCAGCAATTAAAAATAACTACTATTATACTATTACTATAATTATTGTAATACTATTATTGGAATTTTGATTGTGACATGGATCAGCACAATCACATCACTGGGAGAAATTAGACCAGGGGCTTCAAACTCAAGGGTACAAACTCAAGGTGCTTAAATCTGGCCCATGGAGCTGCCCTGGAAACAGCAAAGAACCGTGGTGTCTGCCAGTGAAAACAGAGCTCAGGAGGACCGCACGCCTCCTGCCAAACCTCTACCAGCGAAGGGTTCATTTTCTCTGGCAGCGGTTTGAAGGAGGCGTGCAGCCCTCCCAAGCTCAATTTTTGCTGGCAGAGGGCTGCAGGAGACCGTCGCGGCTGAACACAGAGCCTGGGTGAGTGATGATGATCTGGTCACGCCCTCTCCCATCCCCCCCCCCCAGGCCAAACACAACTCTGATGCAGCCTTCAATGAAATCAAGTTTGACACCCCTGAATTAGAACCAGTTGTCTAAACTGTGTTTTCTGGTAGGGGATAAAAAAAAACCTTGTTTAATGGGGTCCACTTTAGATAGTTGTTAACATTAGGTGAGAGCTCCTAGTTTCTAGCTTTGAGCCAGCATTGGCTGATAGAAACACCAACCAGGTTAGTATTTGGACGATACATTGCTAAGAAATCAAAGGACTATAGGCTGAAGTTGGAAAAAAATATCTGAGGAAAAAGGCCTACTTCTAAATTCTTGTGAGGCAAATAATGTGGAGATGTCCATGAAGTAACCAGAAGTCATGCTCAGATTGAAGAAACTGGCTCTATTTTAACATTTATCCTATATTTCTTTTTACATAATTATATGATTTGACCATTAAATATTCCCAGGAAACATTGTGGTGCAATATTGGCAGTGCAGAAAGGGACAACTGGAGAGAGACCTTTTTCCGTGTTTATGAAGATTAGCACAAAAATACAGAAAGGAGACTCTTTCTCACTCTTTCTCCTTCTTACAACCTCCCCTTCCCCATTAGAGTACCTTGTTTGTACTAAACTACCTAGAGGTGTATCCTCCCAATAACAACTCAATAGTGCCTTTATTGTGCATGCTTAGTCTTGTTATTCGTTGTATATGGCATTCCGATGATTTGTTTTTTATTTGTTTTTTTCTCACCTACCCAAAATGCACTGCTGCCCCCATGATGCACCTCTGCTTGCTGTTTATGTTAATGCGCTTGAACCCCACTGGCCCATTGCCATCATGTGCTCGCTGCCTGCTAATTAAGACTCAGTCGGCTGTCAAATCACTGAAGCGACCCCTCGAGGCAACCTTTGACCTGGTACTATGACCTTTCACCTTTTAGCTTGGCATGTAGCTTTACTGTAGATACAAATTATTATTTTTTTAATTAAACTCTTAAGTAATTTTCCTTATTTCCTGTTATAAAGTAATGTGAACTCAAATTAAAACTGAGTGTGGCTTCCTTGTTGGGTTTGTGGGAAGGTGATGGAAAGAATGTTTACTTGTCCATCCTGAACCCTTCTGAAGACGGAGGATTCTGCATTCAGTTTAATCACCTTGTAGACATTTCTAAATCAAGGAAAATGGGTGTTTTTTTTTAGGATTTTTTTTTTAAATGTGTAAAATATATACGATCTATATATTTGTATCTGTTTGGTTGGCATGGCTTAACAATATTCTTATGTAGATTTAACATTTGTAATGCAAGTGCCAGCATGATTTGGTACTTTGTTTTTGTTTTTTGTTTTTTTTGCATGTTTAGACAGACTTTGGGGATATGAGAGTAAAGTTTAATATATTAATCTTTTTTCATTCACTTTATAAAATTTCTCTTTAACATGGCTTTTACTTATCAATCCTCATGGAGCTAGCAGTGCAGCTTTTTTTTCCTCCCTGGTATTCCTGCTTCTTTACTAAAACCTGAACCTTTTTTATAGTGAAAAAGTGCTAGTTTACTGTTCCCTAGCACTTACAGTGCCATATTGAAAGGGCAGTAATAAAACTTTCTTGCAAAGCTTCGGCCTTGCTCTTTCTTTGAATTGTAAAGTCTGCTCTGCTGCTTGCTTGCTCAAGGATGTAAAAGAAAAAAATAGATGGTGGTGCTCAATTGCTCTATTTTGTACTGACTGTTCTATTTCTTCTCTCTTTCTTTCTCTCCACACTCCACCTTCTTCCTTTCTCTTTCCCTATTCCTTCCTTCCTTCCTTCCTTCCTTCCTTCCTTCCTTTCTTCCTTTCTTTCTTTCTTTCTTTCTTTCTTTCTTTCTTTCTTTCTTTCTTTCTTTCTTTCTTTTTCTTTCTTTTTCCCTATTCCCTTCTTTGTCTTTCTTTCCTTCCATCCTTCCTCCTCCTTATTCCTTCTTCTCCCTATTCCCCTTCCTTCCTTTCTCTATTCCTTTTTCCTCTTTTTCTCTTTCCCTATTCCTCTTTTTCTTTCTTTCTTTTTTATTTATTTCTCTTTCCCTATTCCTCTTTCTTTCCTTCTTTCTTCCCCTTTCCCTATTCCTCTTTCTTTTTCTTTCTTTCTCTTTCTCCCTATTCCTCTGTATCTTTCTTTCTCTTTCTCTTTCTCCCTATTCCTATTTCTTTCTTTTTCTTCCTTCCTTCCTTTTTCTTTTTCCTTCTTCCTTCTTTCTTTCTCCTTCCTTCCTTCTCTTTCTTCTTAACTGGGCTATCTTATCCTCACCTATCAATAGGGGATTCCTCAAGCTGTACTCCCCCCATTACCAAAGAGGCCTGCGCTTGAAAAAACCAATGGTGCCACTGCAGTCTTTAATGCTGGTATTTTCCAATACCAGCAAGCTCTTGCAAACATGCAGTTGCAACAGCATACAGCCTTCCTCCCACCAGGTACGTGGCATTTTCCATATCCTTTGAAAACAACAACAACAACCCCAATGAGGTCACTAGAATAATTTCCCATGGGTTAGCTAGGTTCGAGGTCTAAGGCTTTTCATTCTTAAGTATGATAAAAAGAAAGCATGGGAAGGTAACATACACAGATGCCCAAAGACACAATCTTGCTGCTAAACTGCAAATTCTGCATATGTTTTCTTGGAAGCAAGGTGTTGGGTGCTTTTCAGCATAATCTGAAAATCTGCATCTCTGAAGTGTGCAATCATGTTTCAAAACAGCATTTGAAATCTTTTTCTCTCTTCTCTAATCCTTCATTTTACACCTCTTAAGTTGTTTTATATATACATATATATTTAACTGATGTAAGACCCCTTTGCTCAAGTGAGTTTAACATGCATAGTGCAGTGAGAATAATATTTTCCATATGTTGAATTGTGCTAGAAAAATACTTAGCCGTGAAATATCGTTATTATTATTTTTTACTGACTATGATTCAAACTTTTATCTTCAACTAAAATGCAAGATAAGGTTTGGAATAATAAATTAGCTTTACATCTTTTGAAATCAGGGTGAACATTGTAGTGATGGCCTGTCATTTTTCACTGATTAATCAACAAAGGGGTCCTACACAAATATCTTTTTCATTCCTGCAAGTTAAAGCACAACAGATTTTCATTGCTACCTTATGTTCATTTGCTAAACATTCTATGCAAAAATGTGTGTTGGTTTCAGACTTGAAAAAGGATGACTGAAATTTACAACTAAAATACATATTAGTCTTTTAGTTTGAACATGATGGTCAGTTAAAATGATCTTTATATTCCTGCATGGGTACCATAATTAGATGTATGGATTATGAATAGTAACAATAATAACAAAAGTAGCAATAACAAAAAACAGTGACATCACTGTCCGAAGAATTAAATGAATTAGTCCATATTGTTTGAATTTTAAAAAATATTATTTTTTTAATTAATTTAATTTAATTAATTTAATTTCCAGTTTGAATATCATGACTCAATTCAGTCTAGCAACATGGATGCTTAAATGTTAGATAACTAGGTAAGGTTATATCAGTTGACAATGTTTAAATAGTCATCATAGCCATTCTTTTTAATATCTATATCACTGAATTTTCTTATGTATATAAGAATCCTAAATGAAGGGGGGGGGGAATCTACAGAAAAAATATGTAGCATTTTATCTAACTTATTTTATTTTCAGGAAATATTTTTTTAAAACATGACTGCTTCTAGGTGTGTTAGGAGTACAACATGAGCAATTCTGAGCCACTATTCTGAAAATTTTGGGAATTAAATCCTGATATTCCTGGAAACAACCAGAATGGGGGGAAATTGAGCTAATGCTTTGATCAGATATTTCCTTGTAATCACAGGTATCATCTAACTATACTATAATAGTTAATTTCCAAGTGAAACAGCTTCAAGCTATGTACTTAGTTATTGATCGGTGAATTTCTAGATTGCCTAACTCCAAAATGATTCTGGGTAGCTTCACAAGTAAGAACCAATGTCAAAAGACAACATAACTACCTCATTGACCACAAATCAAAAGACCCTGTCCAAAGCACTCTGACCCAAAGCCTAGAGGAATAAAAACAACAAATTTTTAAAGTTCATGAAGCAGGGAAGGTGGCAGCCATATGAATCTCCATGGGGATGCTGTTCTGAATAATAGATGCTCTGACAGATGAAACCCTCTTCTTGAGTCCCGTGAGATGCCATCACTTAGCTGATGGGACTCAAAGCAAAGCAAAACACACAGGAGGGGCCAAAACTATAGGAGCCAAGCAATCCTGCATATCTGGCCCTAGAGCATTAAAGGTAATAAGCAGTATAATTTGCTCTCAGAAGCCAGCTGGAAATCACTGCAGTTCAGATAAGCAAGGATGATACATAGGAATAGCAAACTGCTTCATTGTGGATCAGATATAGCTTCTGAGTGATCTTCAAGAGCAACATCTGGAGAGTGTTACAGTAGAGGTGATCTGTGAGATAACCAAACTATGAATGACTGTAAGGAAAATTGAGCCTTAGTAGATAGACCAGAGTGGAAACACAACCAGATGAGCTTATTCTACTCTATTATAAAGCTACATCAACACAACATTGCAAGTCTAAAAGTACAAGTCTCATTTACAGCCTGAGAAACTAGGAAGGGTCTCTTCAGAGCCTCTTGCCCTACCCACTAGCCAGCTTGTGTCTTTTACCTGACTGTTCCCTTGGTAGCATTTCTTGACCCAGTCTCCCAAGGTCTTTCATACATAGCATTACAAAAGAAGACCACTTAAGCCTGGCATAAGATACCAAGATACTTAAGATACACAACAATTACCATTGAACATGTTGCATGCAATGACTTGCCTGGCCATAGCTGCTCAGCAGGTCCTGGGAGTTTAGGAAATTTCTAGATAGTGTTCCAGCCTCAAGTGGATCACTACAATCCTATTCAGGATCAAAGGTGAAAAGTTTCCCTCTTCCCGCATAATCTCTTACCTTTCCCACATAAACCTCTTCCCGCATAATCGCTTAATCTTTCTAGCATTAAATCTGAGCCTACTCCTTTTCATCCAGACCCCAACAACTCTGAGGCACTGTAACAAGATCTTGATAGCTGTTAGTTGTCTAGGAAACAAGATACACAACTCTTACCATTAATTTATTGATGATACGTGCCCCTGAACTGTCTTATGTAGATATTACACAGGAGAGGTGAAAACACTAAGCCCTGAGGCACCCTACAAATCAGAGCCTGATATTCATTCATATAATGCTAAGTTATGGATTAGTGTTATGTATTAACCACCCTTCAAACACAGCAACAGCAATATATCTAGATTTACCAAGCCTTTGTCTGAAGCTTAAAACTCCTGTCACTTAGAAAGCAAAGCTTAATATGGCACTAGCACAGTATTGCTTCAGCATTCACATTAGTCATGAATTAGCACATAAAAAGTACCTGTAAATCAAACTTAATATAAAACAATATAGGAGTAAACGTCAGCATTGGACAAATGAAACCTCTCCTTAGGTTATTAAAGCTTACTTTTAACTTGGTAGTTCATTTTAATCAAAATACCAACACACAGTTCAGTCTGCTTTCTCCTTGCCCTGCTCATGTAAGTCTAGTTCTAATTACCACCACCTTGCTGTTTGATTTGATTGTGCTATTGGTTACATGCCACTGTTTTCCCATAATAACCAATTTTTCCTTCTTTGTTCAAATGAGATTTCCTAATTACACGTGTGATGGGTTGTTTTAATTCTTTTCCCTTTGCAAATCCACCTTCCTGTTGCAATGCATGATGGGCAGGCTCAATATTGTGCATGACACCCGCTACAAGTGTTGGTAGGTGCCAGCTTTGTTTCTTGATTATCTTAAACCTGTTTAGCAGCTCACAGACTTTCAAAATCCACTGCTAGGTTTTAACTTAGAATTACTGTGCAAAATCATTTTTCTTCCCTTGCACTAACACTTGTCAATTAAATGCATTTGCTTTATTTAATTGACACAATTTACCTAAAAGCCATTTACTTCCTACCATTATCAAGTTGTTCTATGCCACATTTTCCCCCATCCCTTTTTATCAGCTCTGGTGGATTTTGACTGGACTTTGAGTTCCAGTGTTTTAGAAAATTATTTTGTGTTTAAAACAGAAAAGGCCAGTTACACATTTTATGCAAGAAATGCAGAATTAGAGTTTTATTTCAGCATATCCTAATAATGTCAGAAGTTAAATGGGAGGGTTTGGGAATATGGTTATCCTAAGATTTTCAAACTATTAATGAGTGCTATTTGTAGTTTCTTGGGTCTAAAATGAAATAGTTAAACTTTATTGTATTGACTTTGGTAATTCAGTGGTAATAAGCATTTTTCCCTTCCCTTTTCTCCTTTCCTTTTGTCTTTTACCTTTGTCCCCACCCTGCTCTCTGGAATGTTGCCCCGCTTTGCGCTGTGGTTGCATGTCCTTTTCGCTGGTGGCGGTATCTCGCCCCATGGCTATTCTGCTGATATAAATACCATACTTGACCATTTTACCACCTCTTGCCATGGTTTCCCATACTGCTACACTCTTCTGTATGTTTGCTTATATGGTTTTCCTTCCAAAAGTTCCCATGGTGCACGGCGCTACGCCCGCCACTGTGTCTGCAGCAACAACATCTGCCACAAGCGTCCCCTTCGCTGCAACTGCCACAGCCAACCAGGTTTGCTAATTTACAGCTTTGTTTCTTAAACATAACTCAGAATCGGTGCTTTTAAGGAGCATGGGGATTTCTTTTATTATTTTTGTTTTTGTTTGTTTGTTTCTTTGTAGTTTTTGTTTCATTTTGGTTGTTTTTTTTTTTTGTTGGTTGGTTTATACTTCTTGTTGGCCTACACGTTCTCTTTAGATCTGCAGCATAGCTTAATTGGGCATCTGTCCCTACTCTCCATAATAAGACTTTCCTGAATTGATCAATATGTGACAAATATGCCTTTGTCCTCCACTTCCATGTTCACTGTTACAAGAACAGATGTATAGAAAGAAAATATGAGGATATAAATTCACAATTACTTTTTTCGTATGTAGAATGGTAAACTTTTTGCAAACCAAGGCAATGTCTAATCTAGGAATGGAAAACTATGGAAGGACATTCCAAGAGTAGGCAGTCCCAGAACAAAGAAATTGGCAGAGCCAAGAAGAAAAACTAAATTTATTTTAATAGATACTTAATTTAAATTAAATACCTACACACACACACACTTATGCACATGCATACACATATATACCGTATTTGCCGGCGTATAAGATGACTTTTTTGCCCCGAAAAACATGCCTCCAATTGGGGGGGTCGTCTTATATGCCGGGTCGTCTTATACGCCGGCAAATAGTAATTGGGAAGCACTGCGGCTGCCCGCGGCTGAGGCACTTTTGCGCACTGTGGAAACGAATCCCGTGAAGCCGAAAGGAGCAGCCAGCCTTCTCCCAGCTCCCAAGGAAACGAGGCTCGCACCGCCCGGGCTCCGCTGAGGTATCCGGCTGGGGCTGTCAGGAGTTGTTACCGCTGGCGCGGCTCCGCGCGGCTCCAGTCCCGCGTTGCCTCGGGAAGGGAAAGGCAAAAAGGAAGAGCCGCGGCGGCGCTTTGCAATGGCAGCAGCGGCTCCTGGTTTTGCCTTTCCCTTCCCGAGGCAACGCGGGACTGGAGCCGCGTGGAGCCGCGCCAGCGGTAACAACTCCTGACAGCCCCAGCCGGATACCTCAGCGGAGCCCGGGCGGTGCGAGCCTCGTTTCCTTGGGAGCTGGGAGAAGGCTGGCTGCTCCTTTCGGCTTCACGGGACTCGTTTCCACGGTGCACAAAAGTGCCTCAAAAAAAAAAAGTGCAAAAGTGGAAGGCGTGCAGAAGAGGGGGCGAGTATATAACAAACTATATTTTGAGTGGAAATGTTGGGGGGTCGTCTTATACGCCGGGTCGTCTTATACGCCGGCATATACGGTACATTATGTACATACACTTTATTTTATACTAAAATTATATTTCAGTGGCAAGTTTTAGAGGAATTTTGGGTTCTGTTCTGAAGCCATCAGTAAAACAAGCTTGATATAGCACAAAGCACTACAGGATGTTCTAAGTTCATTTATGCCATATATTTAAGCTACAAATGCTCTCTCTTTAAAGTAGACCAGTATTATTTTCTGCAAAATGATGGCCAAAGCAGAAAGGCCCTGGCTTGGCTGAGGTCTTCAGAGAAACACATGACAAGAAAGTAAATAAATATTGAGAACACTCTTCCCACATGTTGTTTTCGAGATTGCATAAATGCTAGGTGTTGATGATAAGAGTTGTTGAACTAAACTTGAAAGCTTTGGAAATCTGGAAATTAAATTTTAGAAATCTGAATGTTGCTATTATTCACTTAATAGGCCAGGCCTCAAATTTACAACTCTTTCATTTTAAGCTTCCAGAGCATTAAAGTTAATATAGAAAATCTTTGAACTTGAGGAACTAAAATATTCTACTTTATTAAAAAAAAAACACATACAGGAAATCAATATCTGAATGAGTAGGAATCTCTAATCATCCTACTCTTGACATAATGGCCAGCATCCCCAATCATGATCATGCTGGCTAGAGCTGCTAGCAGTTGTATTTCAGTAGTATTTTCAGAATTCTGCTGGAAAATAGGAACGACAATCCACAAGCAAGGAACAGTAATCCCAACTTGACCAAATGGCCTATTATGTCCTTACTACATATTTTTGCTTATGACACAGGACAGCTTACAACTGATCCTATAAGGCAAATTTGTTGCCCCAACCTGGCACCATAAGATATTCTGGGACATCCATACTGAGCAGGAATTTGGGGGACTGATTAATTGGATATAAATAGTCCTCGACTTACAGCCACAACTGGAACTGGAATTTCCATCATAAGTTATTGTGGTCATAAATCCAATTGAACCCTATTTTACAACATTTTTATAGCAGTTATTAAGTGAATTCAGCTTCCCCAATGAGTGTGTTTTGCTGGAACTCAGCATAAAAGGTTGCAAATAGTGATCACGTGACCTCAAGACACAGCCGGTTTTCAATGCAAGCCACTTGCCAAACACCCAAATTGTGAACCAATGACCATAGGGAGTGGTGTAATAGTCACAGGGGGAGTACAGGTTGTAAGTCACTTTTTCTGAGGCCGTTGAACTATTGTTAAAAGAATCAAAGTTTTATCTTGATGGCTAAACGGCTGACGGAGAGCAACCATCAGATTGTCATGTTTTCATATATAAAGGCCACTGTAGATACATCTACTTTCCATTTTTGGTAAGTCAAGATAACCATTTTCCATTTTGGGTAGGTCAAAATAACCACATTTCCACATTAATTGTGGTTTTACATAATGCCAGTAACAAAGGGGTCAAGGTAAAAGCCCATTTCAGATATGCGATATCTTTGAATAGTAAGAGGTAAAAACACCTGTGCTATCTTCCTTATACTATAACAATTTGATGTTTAATTTACAACAAAGAAAAGAGTGACCAACATAGTATACCAAGGAGTCCTGGGTGTATTCATTAGACATTAATAATGAAAAGTTTAGTCATCAGACATGTTATTATTCATAGAGGCACAAAAGAAGGATGGAGGAAAATTCCTCTTTCCCTTTCCCTATCTCTTGGTACAGATGATTCTGAACATTTTTTCTATATTTTTAGAAAGGCTTCTCCCACACAGGTTCTGGAGGTTTTGTTTTTGTTGTACAATTTGATCATTTCATGCATATTTCTCTGGATCCTCATAATGCACTCCAGTCAAGTTTTGTAACCTAATATTTGTATATACATATATAAGCAATATATGTATATAATACATGAGCAATGCTGACATGATGCAATGCCACAAAATGCAATGTTCATGCATGCATAAGTACTTGAGACCTGGGCCCCTTCCTCTTTACTGACTGGTGCTGAAGCTCCTTGGTCTGTTTTGACAGCACTACTCTTGAAGCTTCTAGACAGCTGGATGCAACATCTCTTTCTCCTGCAGTAGCAAACCAATGGTATGAGAAGCTTCATTACACTTGGGACACATTTATGTGCAAAAAGAGAATTTGGAAATGTATAGATTAGTCTTTCCCAATCTGGGACCTTTCAGATTTTTGGAGATTCCAATTCTTCTACTTGTTGGGGATTTGGGGAATTACATGCAGTATATCTGGACGATATTGGAGCCAAATTGGAGAAGGCTACTATTGAATATAGTTAAAGTATATTAGGGATTGTGTAGAAAAATAAATTGGGCTGACTTAGAAGAGTTTGTTTACTTTTGGAACTTTTGTGCTCTAGTAATAGAAGCCAACATAAGTAAGTAAACTAAGTAGTAGAAGCTGATCTGATCCTCTCATTTTATGAATGTACTGTTTTTTATCCTATCTGAACTTGTTTGACGTTTAACTTTTTCATGCAAATGCTTGTGAACTATTACCCGCTTAAGAAACTGAGGGATTACATGTATTTCTATATTCAGGGGTTAGAGTGAATATTATAGTACTTCTTATCAGGCTGTGACCAAAAGTAGTTGAGACAATTTTAGAATTAGTTTAAACCACCAATTATTAGATTAATAAAATAAAAATGTTTAGTAATTATAGAGCAATCAAGAAAATTCTTCCTGTAATTGATGAGTACCATCAATTATATCAATCTCCATAACGGAAGTTCTAAATTTCATCCAATTCTACTGCCAACAAACATTTTTAACAACAAAAATTGCTTTATTTGATAGTTGTATATAATTGAGAGCTGACTAAATGGATCTGTTCTGAAAGTACTTTGTGCAGGAGGCAAGCACTTTGCCTTGCTTAATTTCCTTTGATTGATCTTGAGGGGAATCCATTATAAACAATAGATATTCTTCGTCCAATTTCAATGGAGTGTGAGGATTATATTGCAAATCTTTTCATTGTAAAACAGCATGAACAAACATTTCAAATCCATAGACAGCAAAAAGAAGGATCTAAGTGGATAACCTGTGCAACAACAGAAAATGTTCTTATGGATAGCCAAAGTGTTTAGATTTTCTAACCAACCCCTAAAGAAAATGTGTAAAAAGTTCAAGGTCCCAGTGCTGCACTCTGCTGAGCCCTTCACTTGAATTTCAGTTCTTTTTAAACAGTCAATGACATCAGTTACTGTTGTTGTTATAATAACAATAATCTCAATTTTGCATTCAGTATGCAAAATGCACAGCCCAAGAGTTTGCTTCTCTAGCCAATTATTAAAATCAGAAAACTGAAACAACCCTAGTTCATACAATCTCTGTGTAGGCCAACAAAAAGGGTGCTTGAAATGACTGAACTGCATGAATGTTTAACTGTAAATGTATCTTCCTTTTAAACAGCCAGTAATGGTTGATATCCTACTTAACTGAACGTTCTCATTTAAATTGCTACCTAGGTCTCTGTTAACATATATTACATAATACAGAACTCTGCAGTTTTTCATTTGAGGTACTATTATATTATATCAATTAAAGTTTATATTTTTAATAGATTCCCATAATATCTGCCGAACATCTGACTAGCCACAAGTATGTTACACAGATGTAGACACTTAAATCATCAAACAGTAAGTATCTTAAGTGCATATTATTGTATTTTGATACTTCGGAGAGGATTTGCATTCCATTGTACATGATTGTTGGTGATTGTGTATGTACCTTTCTGTTTCTGTAATTGTATGCCTGTTGTATTAAATGTTTTTAAATTTTATCTTTTATCTTTTCTATATAAAAGAAGACTCAGGTTGAGCTCAGTGATACAAAAACACTTGAAACTAGTTAATGTTAACAATTGACATCTCAGGAAGTATAGGATGTTAAACTGCTGTTCCCTGATATTGTTTTATACACTTACTCAAACATCAATACATATGCATTCAAGTGGTAAAACAAATATATCTACATATGAGTTTAGCCCTCGTTTTATGAACAGTTTTATACAAAATAAAGGATATATATCCCTGATTGTTCCATGCAATCTGAAGGAGCACACTATGGAATTTGCTGATAGAAGAATTTTAAAAGGGCATTAGACAAATCTAGTGAGAATCTTGCTATTTATTCATGCTGGTTACAAAAATCAGGTGATCCTTAATAATTTTTGCTAGATAGCAACAGAAAATAAATATTTTATTCATGTCCTGCTTATAATGCAGGAAGGAAAAAAAAGCCATTTGATATGATCAGGCGTGCTTTTTTAATGTTGTTAAGAACATCTATCATGTGATGCCTATTTTTTTAATTTTATTGTTAATTGGCCCAATATCCAGAGTACCTCAATAAGCATTCTGAAAGTTTTTTTTAAAACAATGTAAAATGTTAACGCATGGATAAAGGACATACCATAATGACCCATGGTTGGTCATCATGTATATAGTCAGCCATTGGGCCACCTATCCCCATTACATTTTTATAGCAAAATATGAAGAAATGGAATTCAACAATGTTTTGTAATGAGAACATTACACAGATGCTGCTGCAGTTAGTCACAAGTAATGCAAAGTTCTTATCTTCACTGCTAATTTAATTTTAGCTGGGGGAAATAACCATAAACTCCTTCCTATTCAGAAGGATATTTTAAATTGATTTGATTACATGCCTTGACTTTTAGCAACTACATAAAAAGACTTATCTAGAATGATCTGTCCTCTCCTGGCCCCTCAGGTCTTTCAACATTCCCTCCCTGTATTTAATTGAGTCTATCCATCTTGCTGATGGCCTCCTTCTCTTTCTTCTATCTTTTCCAATACTCTCCAGGGGATGTGGTCTTCACAAAAGGGCTTTTAAATATTAATAATTGGCTTTTGACAATATTTCTGTTTGATTGAATTGTTAATATTTTAATAAAGTACTTTTTAAGATTTTTTTTTTTAAAACAGTCTGCTTGTTTTTCTAGATCATATGACAGAGAAGAGGACAGCGTGGTTGAGTGAAGAATCAGGACAGGTCATTAGCCATAATGTATATACCGTAAAATAACAGCACCCAAATTTCCTCAGCAGTAAGACATCCACATATTGCATGTTAACAAAATGAAATGACAACTTGGAAATTCACTGCACACTGTTGCCTATATACTTTGTACATTGAATAGATATTTGTGCTGGGGTGATCATATTGTCTAAAACAGCCTTCCCTAACTTGGTGCCCTCCAGTTGTGTTGATCTATAAATGTGGATTGCATCCTGGAAGTTGTAGACCCAAGAAAGTTAAAGGGCATCAGGTTGGAGAATGTTAGTCTAAAGACTACAGCATTGTCCATCTTTTCTAGCACACAAGTATGCAATGCATACCCATCTGACGTAGGCATTGGTAGACTCTTTTCCTACATAATCATGTACGTCATTTTGAAAAGACAGACTGTGATGTAGCCATAGATCTATAATGTATTGGTACGTCTGTAGACCAAGATATAATTTTTAAAGTAAGTTTATTATCTCAAGGTTTACAAATAACAAAAGGTGCACCTTGTATTTAAAATTGCCATTATAGAAGAGACCGTGCATGCACAGTATAATTTTTTCCTTTTTTGTTTTAAGAGTAATATTTTTAAATGTAATAGATTGTAAGAAGTGGTAAAAGAGGTATCTGACAGAGATGAATGTGCCAAGTAAAACTACAACTGTGTATATTTTTAAAGCACATCAATGGCTTTAAGTACCATGTTGTTAAAGATTTTCATGAAGTGCCATAGACTGTAATCAAAGTAGAGTATTATTTCTTCAGTGTTACTTTAAGAACCACATTTTTGCTTGTTTTGCTAGTAGGTAATCAGTCAAAGGGCACCCTTCCGTTTCAAACCAAAGCTGTCTCAGAAATGGCCACCTCAGTTAATAATAGACAGCACATTTTAATTGTTTTTCTTATTTTTTTAAAGCAAAAACCAGAGTAGATATATGGGTCATTCCTACACATACTGGATATATAAAGCTATAAATTATTATAAACCATTGTAATGGTAATAGTTTTACAAAGTATACTATATAACAAACAATATTTTAAAAAGGGAAGAGCCATTTCTGAGACAATATTAGAAAAAGTCTAAATAATTTTATTTTGCTTCAATTTTCTAACCTCTGTCAAAAGTCCAAGAGACTCTAAATGTGTTGAAGAAGATGGGTTTTCCTTTTCTGATCCAATGCATCACTTCAAAGTCACACACTTAAAAAAATAGTGACTCTAATCATGAGAAAAGCACTGACATCAGATGCCTGATTAAAAAGAAAACCAAAATAATCAACAATCAATGAAAATGTTAATTAGAGTAGGCGCTGGGTGGGTTAAATATTGGGTGAGTTTTATATGTGATTTCTTCTGTTGAGATTTAACTGCTTTATAGCCTTAGAAAGCCTTTACAAAATGAAACAAAAAATAGATGTGCATTCAAGTTTTTAAGATGGATTCATCCAAAGGAAATCCTTTGTGTGGTTTGGATGTTGCAGTTAGTAAAGGATATATTTTGCTCTGTTCAGCAAAGCTCGAGGTGGGGGCCAGGTCTCTGGTAGCGTCGCGTTAGAATGGGAGAGGTGAGGGTTCGGTTCTAGAATTCTCCGTACTTCCAAGTTTACTTGCAAGTTTTTATGCTTGAGAGATGCTTTCTAGTTAAAAAAAAAAAAGAATGATGTGTTGATTTTACTGATTGTACTGTACATCTATTAAAGCCTTAGATTATTACATTACGGGTTAAAACCCATACCAATGTAATTTCAATCGTGTTAAGAAAGTATAGGTGACTTCACATGTTATTGTAGTTTACTTACATTTAGAGAATATGACTTATTTTTCCTTGTTAAAATGTAGTTTTTATTTCGTACATTTATTAGATCATTTTCATTTTCTATTACCAGATGAATGCCATTTAAGTTTATAGAATTTTGTTTTATTAGATTTTACTGATGAATTTTTTTCAAAATATGAAAAAGAATTAAAAATATTTTTTCTTCATAGCATATGCAGTTTTGAATTTACATGTAGTGTCATGAATATTCGTATTCTTGTTAACTAAATGATTTATATTTTACTGATTTAATATTACAATGTAAGAATATCAGTCATTGTTAGTTCTTGTCTAGTTTTCATTAAAAGAACAAAGATCTTTTATATGGATATCTTATATAATCATTGTTAAGTAAGAAGTTAAGTTGTTGCTAATGAAATGATCCTGGCAGACAACTGAGTAATATTTTGATGATTTATTTTGTTTGTAATTAATTATAAAAGAAAAAAATCTAGTTCTTAGATATTAGAATAAAATTTATTTTCTACTGTATCCATTTCAAATGTTAAAATATTGTTTAAATATTTTTTGAAATCCCTGAATATCAGGCCTTCTTATAAATAAGCTGCATAATCAGTAGATCAAGGGACTTTTTTGTTGATAATCCAAATACTCAAAAAGTTTACGTATAACAAGAATTATAATAAGTGTGAGTGCTTGTGCATACTCTTGAGGGATGATTATGCTGCAATTTAGCATGTGGGAAAGTATAGAGAGAAGGTTGACCTTTTGCACTTCTGTATATAGTCAAATAAAAAAAAATAAAGAGAGAAACCTGTATAATAGTAAGATCTTATTTTGAATAAAAATGTCTATAAATACAAGGAGTTTTGTTAAGGCTTATAAAAATGACAGGCTGAACAAAATTGCTTGCAAAAAAAGTGGCACAGAATTAGCACTCCATACCCCTTTGAAAAAGTGGCTTTGCTTTATGTGAACAGCTTCTAGTTTGCCAGGATTCTTTCAGCTGGAAAGATTGGCCATCCTTCTCATGACTAACAAAAGCTGCACTGGTCTAAATCTGCCTGAAGATAATTTCTGATGAGACAAGAAAAATAAAAATTATTTTTTTAAAAATGAAATTTCAGAAAAAACAGGTACTTCCAACCATTAAAGGTAAATCATGGATCTAATATGTCTTACATTACTCAAAACAATTACTGCATGTTTCAAGTATCAAGGAGAGAGAGAAAGAAAAAGAAAATATAAATAGATATAAAATATATATTCTATTCAAACCAGTTTCTGAAAAATTTCAGTAGTTTTATTATTCACACACTAGCGCAAAGACACACATACACAGAGAAAGTGATATTGACTTTCACATGCACACTAAAGAAGTTTAAAAATGTTGACAGGCAAACCAAAACAAAACCATCATAGCTGTAGTTGTTATGTAATTATTTTTATTGCTGTAGTGATCCGGTTCTTTTAGCAGGTGAAAAAAAATACCCTTTCAAATTTACCATTTTTAACCTAAAGCACTTGACAAACCATGTACAACATGAAGCCAAAGTGAGGGGGGAGGGAACCAGTGATTGGATCTATTCTGTCTCATAATTCATATTGATGAATTAGTACATGTTGTACTTCCTTGCAACCCTATAACTTTCATCTGCTGAAAGGACAGGTGTGCTTGGTTTTTACTATTATGTAATCACAGACTTAAATTTGCTTGGTAGTTGCTCCTACTTATGTACTCTGTCCTGGGCTGCAATTTGTTTTTATGCTTATTTTATTATTACTGCTATAGCTGTATGAAAAAAAAATAAAGTTAAATTGCCCTAATAAAATTTCTTTTGATTATCTTTTTTTCTGTTTCCAAGTTTGGGAGAAGAGGGTTTCTGTTCTCATTTGTGGTTGGGACACGGGAGGGCACCATCTCTAGTGGTACAGCTCACTGTGTGAAGACTGACATTAGTTTATAGGATATGCTTCTACAAATATGATGCTAACACTCACATACTGAAGAACCACACGTCTCTCAATTACTCACTGGTAAGTTGTTTCCCTCTGAATAGGACGGGGAAGTTCACTGGGAAGTTCACTATTATTCATGATCCATGTTGCATTACCAATGTGTGAACTCAAGTCTATGAACTGACCTTGAGAGCTACAGAGGTGATCATCAGCGTTCATGAAATAGTTTCCGTAAAATTATGATCTCTTAGTTCTAATGAACTCTAAGCTTAGATGATAAAGTGAATTATTTATTATTAGACAACATGTGACCAATTAGGTCTGAAAAGAGATTTCCTTATCCTTGCAAAGAAACGTAACTACAAAAAAAATGGGCAAAAAAACAACACCGGGAGCAGGAGTGACTTTTCCCATTGATTTTCCTTGTAGGAACTAGTAGAGGCTGTTGGAAATGATTATCATGTGACCACAATTTGCTGAATTTCAAACCTGGATGTCAGATTTCAATCCACATTGATTCATCTCTATTTTTTCCCATTATATGCTTCTGGTGAATGAAAGAATAAATACCACTTTTCTTGGGTAAAAAGGAAGAACCAGGTGGGATCTAATGTTAGCAAGTATAAAACCCATTTGCTCAATAGAACTTTATATTTGTTCTGCTCTCTAGTTGTCCATGAAACCTCAAACTCTACTGAGTCCTCAATAGATTTTGAGATTGCTCAAAAGCAACAGATGAAATGAAACCACTCCTTACTGGTTCTACTGGAAAGGTTTAATGTGCTACTTCTTTATAAGCCCTGTATGAGTTAACCTGTGGTTGTATTCTCATGGCAGATACAAGTGAACTATTATGTAAGTACAAATAGTCCTCAACATGACCACAATAACCCCCCAAATTTCCATGGCTAAGTGAGACAGTTTTAAAGTGAGTTTTGCCTAAACTTACATTTTTGGACTCATTAAGTTAATCACTGCAGGTGCTAAGTTAATACACTATTGCAAAGCGAATCTGGCTTCTTCCCACTTGACTGGCCCTGGGACACTACAACCACCATAAATACGAGCTAGTTGCCAAGTATCTGAATTTTGATCATGTGATGGGGGATGCTGCAATGGTCATAAGTATGAAAAATGGTCGTAAGTTTCTATTTTCAGTGCCGTTGTCATTTTGAATGGTCACTAAATGAACTGTTGTAAGTCTAGGACTATCTGTATATCCTTTACATACAGCAATCCCAGTTTTGTGCTTTACGGGATAGATATAAGATGTAAGAGGCTGTCCAAGCTGAAAATGGGGTGACTGCCCCCCACCTCTGAGCTCCATTTTTGCTAGCAGAAGCACCAGAGGCTGGTCCTTTGCTGTTTGCAGGCCGGCCTCGCGTGCCAGATCTATGCACCCTGCAGGCCTTGAGTTTTACACCCCTGGTTTAAAGTTACAATGATGCTGAACAATGGGCACTTATGATGGGTCTTCGTCATTGTAGCTGTCACAGCATCCCTGCACTCACATGATCATAATTGAAGTGCTTGGCAATTGGCTCACTATTATGGTACCACTATGTCCTACAGTCATTTAATCACCATTTACATCCTTCACAGCTGGCTTCCAACAAGGCAATGGGAAGTCTACAGGAAATTGCAAGTGCCAACCACGTGACCACAGACCACTCTGGGATTTGCCTAACAATGGCAACTGGAACTGGCAGAACTGTTGTAAGTTGGCATGATCACATGACACCACACCTTACATTGGAGTCAGTAAGGATTATCTCTATTTGTTTCTCAAGACAGTCGTTTCTATAGTACCACACTACCTCACTTTTCAGATGAATTACTTTTGTATTCAATTCATATTCATCATCCATTTATTCTTAATGCTTTCTCTTCTTTTATGAGGCACAAATAATAGCTATCTCATTCTTACTGGATTCAAGTTTTATTTCTCCTGCCGTTTTTCATATGGATAAAAAGTGGGAAGGAGAATGCTGTTAATATGCAGTCATTTTCACCTGTTTTGGGAATACTAATATTTGTTTTAATTTTAATCTTTAAGATATCACTAGCCTGATATTACCTGACTTCACTTCCACCTTAAATTTCCTTAATTTTAATACTTTTTTTTACTCCTGGAGGCTCCTCTTTATCCATTAGATTGAGAAGTCCCTTAAAAAACAAAAATGACAAATCACTTTGACAAGCACCTATTAAGTCCTCAGATGTAGAGACTGGCTTGAAAGTTTTACCCTAAATTAAGATTAAACAAAAGATGTCCATCTTTCATTGAGCTCGTGTTATGAGCCATGGGTAACAAAATCCAAATCTTGTATTAATCAATTGTTTAGCTTTATTGAGCTTTAGAATTTATGTCTCCTTTAAATATAAAAGTAATCTGGCTTTAAAACCAGAATGGCAAGCCATGAAACCAATGTACCCATTTGAACGAATTCTCCTGAAGTTTCTCTGGTTCTTATCAACTTTGAGAAAGCCTTGAAGATTTGGCTTTTTAAATTGCCCCTAAGACATTATAAATTGTGACCCTAATTGTGGGTTTCTGTTTTGCCTTTTTGTTTCCCCTCTAATGTGAGTGATTTATATTTTTCTTAGTATTGGCTATATTTATGTCTGCTTTAAATTGTTTCCTATCTTTGTATATCATCATATATTGCTTCAGCAATTGTGGCAGCTGATTAACAAACAATACACTATAAACAATTTATTCTTGTTACCATGATAACAGAATTATGTGTTAACATTATTCATTTCTGCAACACTATCCATTTATATCAGGACTGGGACTTCAAAACATACTGAGAAGCATGCTCTACTGGGCATGGTGTTGTATTGTTAGGGATGTATCATAATGTCTGAATAAACACATGGAAGATTATGTTCCGTTAGCGCAATAAACAAAACAGAAATATTTCTTCTTAAAAACAATTACCATTTTTTTTGTTTAGTTTAGTCATCAACTATTATCATTTCCCAGAATCTGTTCTAACAGATTTTTAGAAAAGAGCTTAAAGTTACCTATTACTTTTATGTTCTAATGTAATCATGTAAATGTAGCACTACCCCCATAAGGGCCACTAGAGTGCGGGTTCTCCAGGTATGGCCGCCGGTCCACACTGGTCCCTCACTCAGGCACCTCTACTGGCCTGAGTCATGTAGTGGGGGTGGGGGGTCAGTCTCCTTTCAGCAGACAGGTCACGTGGTGAGGTGATGGTCAATCTTTTCCCAGCAGGCGGGTCATCTGATGAGATGGTAGTCAGGTGGCTGGTCGGCCCTTCGTCCTTCTTTTTCTCCCTCTCTCTCTCTTTCTCCCTCCCTCCCTCCCTCGCCTCCCTCTCACTGCCAGCTGAGCTGTCCTTCTACCTCCTCTGCTCCTATGTGGATTGCTCTACTTGCCCCACAGAAGCATCTCCTACAGGGGCGAAATTCAACCACTTCGGCCCACCTCAGGAGAGGTGGTAGGGATGATTTGAATTGGTAAAAAAAATCACCCTTGGTTGCTCCTGGTTGCTGTTACTATTATACCAAGCAACGCCCACAGCCACAGCCACAGGCCCGGTAGGGAAAATTTTTGAATTTCACCCCCGCTTTCCTATCCTATACCCTTTTCTCCCTCAAGCTTGCTGCACAGAAGCCTCTTCTATCTTCCCTATTGCCTTCACTGCCTCTTTCTTTCCCCAGGCGTCTTTTCCTATCCTCTCAGGCCTCTCTTTCCCCAGGCATCCCTTTCTATCTTAAACTTCCAGCTTTTTACACAGAAAACCCCCGCCTTCCTCTTCTCGCACTCTCACTTTCCTCATTCCCGCCAAAACCTCCTTTAATTCCCTTCTCCCCCCCCCACCGCTACATAAAGAAATATTAAAATAACTACTGATAAATGGGTATATCAAGAAAAACTACAATAGAACTCTTTTCAGCTAAACCCTTAAAAAAAAAAAACAGCAACCTTAGTTTGATTTGGTTTTTCATTTCCAGTATAAACTTCCCAACAGGAACAAAAGTACACAAAGTGAGAGACACAGAAACAATTTACAGATAGTCCTCAACATACGACCACAATTGAACCTAAAATTTATGCTGTTAAGTGAGATTTGTTAAGTGAATTTGGTCCATTTTACGACTTTTCTCACCACATCTGTGTGACACCCCACCCCACCCTCTAGGCCACTGCAACCATGAAAAACATGAGTCAGTTGTCAATCATCCGAATGTAAATCACATGATATGGAGATGCTGCAAAGGTCATTAGTGTGAAAAATTGTCATAGCCGCTTTTTTCAGTGTCAGTGTAATTTTGAACTGTCAATAAATGAACTGTTGTAAGTCTAGGACTACCTGTATATCCTTTACATACAGCGATCTTAGTTTTGCGCTTTACTGGATAGATATAAAATTGAAATTTAAAACAAACATCTCAGTATTTATTCCATGAATATCCACCAGACGCTCATAATTTCTGTTGCAGTTAAATTTCTGGTGATTATAAATCTACTGTTCAGGGAGCAACAGTACTGAAATTGCTTGCTATTGTTTCTCAGAGTGCTTTCTGACTTTCTAGTCTATAGCCCTCATCTCTCAGCCACGTCTTAACTAGGCCTGCTTATTTTTGAAGCCCAGACTATATCAACCAGCTTCTTCCATCCCTGAGAATCTTTTTCTTGTACTTTCTTCCCTTATTTGTACAATCCATATTATCTTTTGATTTTATACATCTGTATCTAG